CCCGGCCTCTCGATGGCTTCGACCACTACCTGCACCAGGTTCACCGACGAGTACCAGCTCTTCGAGGAGCTCGGGAAGTAAGAGCGGCTGGGGCTGGGGGGGAAAGGGGGCGCGTGGGGCAGGAGGGAAGTGAATTAGGGCGGTGACAGGTCAAAGGGGGGGCATGCAGGGGTCTCTGCACGGCACCTGGCTGGGGGTCAGCTCCATCTCCATCCAGACGGCAGCTTGGGGGGCACCCCACGAGAAGGAAAGTTCAGCCCCGGGGTGAGAAGGGGTTATTTGTCCCTCTGCTCTGTCAGGTCCAGAGAGGTGCGTGGCACGAGCCCCCCCCCCGCCCACATGCACAGGGCCCTGGGCTCCCAGTGCCTGCCTCGCATTGGGGAGCCCCCCAATGATTTGGAGGTATGCCCTTGCCCGGATCCCATTTGGCCTTGAAACATGGAGCCTGGGCGGGCAGATGGCAATGCAATGATGCTAAGGCTCCTGGGCAGTGTCACGGCGGGGGGCATCAAGACTTTCTTGCTAGCCGCGCTAGTGGGCTCGGCTCCCGATACCCATTTCGACCTAATCGCCATGTTCAGAGAGCTTATTTGGTGGCGGTGGTTTCCCACTGATTACTATGTTGCTGCCTGTCAGGGAAGAGGGGGGGAAAGATGCATGGTTATGTGTGTGAGCCCCCTCCGCTGAAACAGGACTTGAACTGCGTACTGACAATGATGGGACTTGGGCTCCCCCACTTGAAAGAGCATTTCTTCCAGTCGCAGTCTATCAAATTTGTGGTGATTGCCATTTTTTTTGTCCTAGTCATTTTCCTGTCTCTTTCCAAGCATTTCATTCCAGGCAGGGAAAGCATTGAAATGATTTGAGTCTTTATCCAGGATGACTGATTCTTGTCTGGTTATTCATTTGCAGGGGAGCTTTCTCAGTGGTGAGAAGATGCATGAAAATTACCACAGGACAAGAGTATGCTGCCAAAATTATCAACACCAAAAAGCTCTCTGCTAGGGGTGGGTATATTTCAACCCAGCATTTTCAGTGTCTCCCCACCCTCTCCCCGGTCCTTGGTTTTTTTGCTTAAAATAGCATTATGTGAACCCCTTCCCCTTGTGTCTTAATTTTTTAGTCTTCCATTTCTCTAACATGCCGCTTAGATTTTTCCCTTCTGCTGACCGACTGTATTTATGAGAGTGCTTCTCTAGCATGCTAGCAGGAAAGATGGATGGATTCTGAGGCAATTAAAAAAAACAAACCCTTTTGCTTTCAGTTTTGCATACAGACAAGTTTGAATATCGGTCTGGCTTTCCTCCTCTTTTTAGTTTTTGATAAAATAAGTTCTTGCCGTAGCTCTTGTAGAAAAAAAAATAGGTCAGAGCTTAATTGAATCTCATTTTTCACTGTATTTAAACATGAACTTAATTCATCGAGGCATATTTAACAGTGAACGCCTTCAGAGAAAAATGTGATCAACTACACATGCAGTATTGTGTATTACAGAAGAAGTGGATTAGTCATAATTTTATGAAGTGCTTTATCACTGCTATAATCCAAATGCTTAACCCGTTTATTTATATTTTTTCTTATGTATGCATGGGTATGCATTTTATGGCTGTATGTGCAGTCAGTAGATAGGTGTTCATAGTATATTGGAAAAACTATGGGCTTACCATGTGTTAGGACTGCTGAAAGTAGGCCTTCTGGTGATATGTTTGTGCCTTGATAAATCCACACTAAAGTACTTGTAGTAGGATGTTGGGGATTAAGGATTATTCTCTGTCAACATTATCTGCACTTTCATGTGAATTTATGCCTTTATGATGAACACGGAGATGAATGAACTAACATTGTCAGTGTGTAATATGGCCAGGTTTACTCTTTATATGAAGGAAATGCTGCAGATGGACAGCAACCTGATAACATTTATTAACTTAAAAAATATACATAGTTTTACTTACAATGACATACTTGTTAACTTTTATTGCTGTTCTAACTGGAGAGGGTCTTTCAAGTTTTCCATTCTATAATCTAGTTTTTAGTTCAGTAGAGGACTGTAAAAGTTTACTTTTCCCTTTATACTGAATATTTAACCTCAAGTTCATAATGTGAGAGAAAGGTATACAGGTTATAATGTGAGAGAATTATTTTTTTCCTTAGCTTTTTAAAACCATATTTTGAGCTAATCTCCGGTCATTGTTATGGTTTGCTTTAAATGGTTAAGAATATTAATAACATGATTTGAGATGTGTTTTTCACTGTTTTTCTTAAAACAGATTTTGATTTTGATTCCACCCCCCCATAAGTTGTTTATTTGGAAATTTAAAAGTACAATAAGCAAAATACTGATAGTTACAAAATATTTTACGTTTTTTATGACTCTTGATTGAGAGCTAATAAGGTCAGGATCAGTTTGTTAATGAATTAAGGCTTACATATATTGCATTTATAGTTTCTTTAAAAATATATTGAAGAAACTGTATTAAGGTTGCCAAGACTGCCTTAAACTCCAGTCAAGGCAGTCTGAAGTAAATGCTTCTGTTTTATACTTTCCTTACAGTTTTGTGTATGAGACCATGTTTATTCCTGGTGTAACTTTTAGATTGAATGGAATTATACCATGATGAGTTTAGCCCATATATGTAATGCAACAAAATTGCACACAGATTTTGGACTCTTGCTTTTTCTAGGAATTCGGAACCTAATTCCCTTGTTTTTGGTGGAATTAAACTCTAGAGCTGGATAATGATTGTGAGCACCTCATTTTCTGTAGGGACACTTGTGCATACATGATGTGTTATCAGTGGGTGTAAATGAGTACCATGGGGAGTACTGTCTTTCTAGCACTGCCTGCAGAGCTTTGTACCAAAAATTGCCACCAGGATGTTTTGCTTGCCAATTCTTTTTCAATTCTGTGCTTCATATCGTGACATTAGCTGTGTATATAATAATTCCCTTACATTTTGGTGTGTACACACACGCCGATATACAAATACACAAATATGTCCATTTGCACATATCCGTAAAGTTACATGCACTCAGTCTATTTTGTCAGGTAGATAATTCCAGGGTAATCAATAAGGGTATTACTTTAAGGCAGAGTTTAATAAGGACTTTAAGCATTTGTAATTTCTAGTATATTTAAAAACATTGTTATGGTGTGTCTATCTACAAAGTTGTCTCCTATGGCACAGAAGCTATACACTGAAGAGCATCAAACTGCAATATATTTTATCATGACTGATATGATAATAATTTATAGATTACAGTTTAGATACTACTTAAAATTGTAACATTATTTATCTGTCATTTTTATAATATTTTTCATTGTGAGATGGAGCAATTTCTTTTCATCTGTTCTTACTATAATTAATAGATTTATCTGGTGCTTGAAGTCATGTAGTCTGCTCTTGTCTTTGTAAATCTAAAGGACACTTCATAAAATGAGCTTCATCTGTCTGTAGAGAGTACACACAAGACCCTCTGCTGTGAGGGAAATATACCTTCTAGTGACTGGCTCTCATTGATGTAGTTTAGCTAAATTCACATTGTATGTAGCAGGCCTTTTTCTGAAACATTTTTAAAAGGGATTTCAGCAAATAATATGGGGAAATGTACCTTCTTTGTTAAAAAGAGTTATTTATTAACAGTAATTTAAGACGCTTTCATTCTCAGTCGTGGGTTTCTATTAGTATTGTTCAGTCATAACAGCACTTGCCCCCCACATGTATTTTCTTTGAACTTATCTGAGCAGTCGCATTCGCCCAGTGCAAGATACTGATCTGGTTACAGCGAGTTGTTGGTAAATGTGTTCTCTCTCTAGTTTTCATAAAAAATAGAACTTTTTTTACAGAAAAAGTTTTTTAAAAGACTCCTGTACATACAGTGGTGCATGTCTTTTTGGTGGCTTGTTTACCCATTTTCCCCAACACTTTCTGCTTCTACCACTTTTTATTCATGGCCATTTTTGTATAATAATATAACATGTTATAACAATTTATAACAATATATGTTAACCGTCATCCCTGCTTCTCAGAACAGTTTGATTTTCAGATTGATGACAAATTATTTCTTATACCTGAAATATGCCTATTTATCACACTGCTAACTAAACTTCAATAAAAAAAACTACTATTGTTGAAATAAGGTAATACTATGAAAAAGAGATGTGAATTTACATGGTTTGCTGTATTATTAAAAAAAAAGAAAGACATGCTGTCTTTTATGAGTTCTGGGATTTTCTGCTATTTTGTTAATTTGAAATACTAATACAAGCATAATATGAATAACAAATAATAGTAATCATTACAATTTACTTTAGCAATAACATTTGTTAGCTATATGTTACTTAATATTTATGTTTCAGAATTCATATTACAAGCTTCATTTGGAAATTGTAGTCTTTTCAGGGAAGAGTAAATTTAATTCGGGTTGTTGGAAAAAGAACAGTAGGCTTTCATTACCAGAAGCGTGCATTCTAACTAAGCTTGCCTACATGAATATACCACAGATGGACAAAAGCATGTATGACTTGCCTTCAAAGGAAAGTGGGATAGTGAGCAAGCATTATGGAAAAAAAAAAAGAAAAGAAGAGCATATTTTTGCTGCATTTGTCTTTTATGTTGCTTCATCTTATACAGAGGGTTCTTATATGTCCAGTTATTTTTTATTAAAGTGTGATTTGAGTGTTTGTTTAGAGCTCTTTGTGGCTATATAGCAGGATGAATAAATTGTGCTTCTTCGAAATGTGTTTCTTGACTAGGCCAAACCAATAAAAAAAACATTTAAGAAAATTAGACACCTCATTTTCTTAAATACTTTTTATTTACAAATCTTTTTGGTTTTCTGGCCTTGTTCCTACAATTAACTTCATTCAGACAGATCTTCCTGCTTTTGTAGATTGTGTTGAGGGATTGAGTCCTTAGTCTTCAGCTACAGTGTCTGTGGTTCATGGACAATAAGTAAATAATATGAGACATTTTGTTAAGATTTCTGACAATCTCTGTAATTGCACTGAAAAAAAAATCAGTTTGCTCACAGATTTCTTGTAGCGTGCAGCTTTTCACTAAATGTAAATTTGCATTAGGGTGGCAATTGCCAAAAATACTAGTCATTGGCTGCCTCTGTGAAAAGAGGTTGGTGGTAGAGTCCAATTCCTGGTGGTCTTTTTTCATTTTGACCGTCAGTTGGCAGCCCCTCACACCACTCCACCATTTTTATTGTTGCAGCAGAAACATGAATAGACATCTGCTGTCTGTGCGAAACAGTTATATTAAGAAAGGTGCAGGTATCACTTGGGGGTTTCTAGTTCTCTGTCCATTAGCCCTAAACCAAAGAACACCAAAGCCCATGAGAGTCTTTCCATTATGTTTAATAAACTTTAGAGACTTTGACTGCTTGCTTATTATCTTTCTCAGCAGGTCTTCTCCCAAATCCTTTCAGTATCTTCTCTCTCTTTTTTGGAAGGGAAATACTGTTTGCTTTATATTAAATGGTGCCATACAGGGCCTGAGATAATGAGACAAATTGTGCATTCCTGTGACTAGCTCCAAAAGAGTATCCAAGCTTAAAGGACACCCTTACCTTCTTGGAAAAACGATTTGATGGGAGAGTGTGCAGACTTTTGCCATGTGGACAGAATGATACAATGTCTAAATCTGTCTGTGTAAAATTTTTTGTGATCCCTGAAGTGATTTACAATACTGTAGGGAGACAACCGGTAATGTGAAGCATATAAAGAGAATTTTTCAGCACAGTATTTCATGGTAGAAAGGGAAAAGTTTTGTCATGTTACCAGACCACTGGTCCGTTTATTCAGGCATCTTGTCTCTGCCAAAGCTGGGTGTTTCATATGAATCCAAAACCTTGTAGAAATATGCCTAGGAATCCAGCACTATATTCTACATGGCAAAATTTCTTCTTGACCCCAGCCCCTGATCATTTTACTCCCTGAAGCATGAAAATTAATAGACTGTGGACTTCTGCCATTTTAGTATAACTACAGATTCTGTTTTTA